GGTGACCTCTTTGAAGGTAAATGGTCTCAGCTGTTCACCTGCTAGCATCCCTGGGTGACCGACAGTTGCCCCGTTGGCACAGGGAGTTCAGCCCTTGCATTTTCGTGTGCTCACCTGGGCGAGAGCTCAGCATCCGAAGCTCCGCTGTCACTCGCTGGGTCAGCACAGGCAGTAACCAGGAAGCTTCTCCAAAACACAGCATTATTTGTCTTCAGATGTAGGGATAACTGAGACTATTCATCATATAACAATGTCTCATGTCAACTGCATTTGGTCCTGCCAAGTCTATTACCTGAACAGCCTCTTTGTTCTGTCTGTGCTACAATCTCACATCGCCTTCTGGACTAAGTGATCTGTCACCTCACATCACATGTGCCACTTGCAACAATTCTCAATCCACAGCTTTGTGACTGTTTTCCATGGCTTCCCCACACTTGCTTATTTGTTTCATTTACATTAATTACCCCTGCTGAATTTAAGTTCCTTATGGTCCTGGGTTTCAGAGGTCTACAGGTTTTCAGGGTTTACAAAAGTCTTGAATTTTTCACCTGCCTGAAGCCTCTTATCTGGTGCTACAGGATCCTTCAACTCAGGGCTTCCTGTGGTGCTGGGGAACTCAAATCTTCTTTCTCCTCTACAGCCTTGAGTATAATTGCATCTGGGGACATCTGGGCATGCAGGGTCTTCATTTGTGCTGCTGGCTGCAGAGCTCATGGACCCTCAGCAAGAAAGCTGGCTAACGCCTGAACTTCATGACTGTAGGACAAGTCTGTTCTCCTGAGGCTAACCTGGACATGGCTGGGCCACGTTCATGTTAGAGAAATCGTTTTGCCACCAAGGAGTGGCCACATGCAGACTACCTGTAGGGAATGGTTGCTTGCCCTGGTAACTCCCAAATTGCACTTGGATCACATTTGGCATAGCGCTAGCTGGATCATGCCAAAGCTGGGCCATGGACCATTCCATATTTCAGCCTCTAGGTGAATTAATTCCAGAGCCTGTGCCCTTGTATTGTTTAAGTTACTAGTATAGGTGTAGCCTGTGCCATGGGGAAAAGGCGAGAAGTCACAGTTTCTCAAGTGTGGAATTTCTAGGCAGAGCAGTTGAATGGCTGGTACCTTCTCAGGCCCAGGTGAGGAGCCATGAGACCTCAGGCTGCCTGGGTCACCCTGGGGTGAGCAAACCGTGAGTTATGGCCTCCATCCCTCATGCTGTGGTATATTCTTTGCTCTCACCTGTGCTGGAGTGCTCCCAAGTCTGCAGGAGGCACCTGGATACACTTCAGGTGACCTCCAACTCTGTCCCAGGAAACACACACCTGCTGGTAGAAGTCCTGGAAATGTAAAATCTTCCACGCTGTATTGCCCATTTACAATTCCCTTGCCCACCCAAAACACCCCAAACCTGCATTAAAACTCTTTCTGTGAATTTATTTACAGACAAACAATCCATATTTACAGTGAATATATCTAAGCCTGATAATAACACATAATGGCTTTTTTATATCCCAGCCAAGTGCAGCCAAGCTCGAGGCAAGATCAGTTCACTCCGGCCATAGCAAACAAACAACCTCTCCATGTCCACAGACCGTGATGTACAATGCTTATTCACCTGCGCTGGAGACGCTCCAAAGCGTGGTCTGCGGTGTTGGACACAGGAGGGATCCCCCAGACAGTCTTGCTCAAGTGCTCATCTACTCTGAAGCTCATGGTGATTGCTGAAGCCACCAGTCCCAAGATGTGCTTTAGCTCGAGATCCTGGAAAGGTGACAAGGAGATGTGGCCTGGCGTGGGGATGGAGGCAGCTGTGCCATGAAGCCCGTTAGCTGGCAGGGGGACTTGCAGACCTGATGCCTACACCTCTACTCCATGCCACCTTTGCTCAACCTTCCCAAACAGAGCTGTCCTCCTGCGACACAAGGTGGAGAAGAAAGCATATCACAAGCAAATACTGTGGGCTGAGACTGGCAAAAGAAGCAGACTAGTGCATGTGCAGAGGTGCTTTCAGTGGTAAGGTATGCTTTAACCACAAACACCATCTAGGCTGCTTTATTTGATCGTTCCTTAATTTGTCAAAGAGGAATCTGTCCTGGCTTTATTACAGCTTTTATTCTTGGGTGACGTGTTTCTGGTGGTAGCGACTGGCACGCGCAGCTCAAGATGTGGAGGAACACCTGGAACACGCCGCCAATCCCTCCCTGCGTCTGCACTCCCCTTTCTTCTCCTCTTTTCCTGGTTGTGTCATCCACTTCAGCGCTCACCTTCACGGTGCACTTTCTCACCAGGACCAAGCCTGGAGGTGAGTTGCAACAGTCCTTTCTTTTTTTCAATAGCTATTGGAGGAGGAACCTGACTCAGGCTGTGAGAGAGAGGCACCGGGTACAGGAGGGAGGGGGTCTGCAGACATCAGTTTTTGCCTCTTGATTGCAGGGAAGCATTGCTTCCCTCTCTATTTTCATATCGCGTCAGTCAGTAGTATCGGTACCGCTGATATACAAGATAAGAGGTGACAGGTGCCGCACCCACCAGCTTCTGCTGGAAATCCTCTTGTTGTGAGGGATCTTACAGCTACCCGTAAGACCATGGTGGGGTGCAGGTTGGTGCTATGTGGGTTTCCTTGTCCTCAGGTCAATGCTACAAATAAGAGGCAGAGACCAAGCATGCAATCAAGGCTGTCCTGGTGGACAGTCCCGAGGACTGCAAAAGCAGCAAGACCCGGGCTTTGGGGCACAGACAGTGGTACCGTGCTCTTAGAGACCACAGCAAGTGGATCAGTAAAAGCAATGGGGTGTTGCAGACTTGAAAGACCATGACTATTATCTGGTACAGAGGAGAAGCCAGCAGGATGCCGGTGATAAAAGCGCTGGCGGTGGTGCTATGATAGAGACCGTCCAAACTCAGGGGGTGGTGGTCATACAGGTGCAGGCTGTGCTGAGAAGGCTGTGGCAACTGTTCACAGGACACTGAAGCAAAACACACAGTTAAACAAGGCCATTAATTAGTACAGATAAGCTGTTTTGAAACGTTCAATAAGGTCATCAACTGAAAGACAAGGAAACACATATAGCACCAGCCTGCGCACCAGAATGGTTTACAGGTAGCTGTCAGATGCCCCACAACCACGGGGAAAGGGAGCTCCCCCACCCGCCATCTCTGTGCGACACTGACCTCAAAATCCAGTTTGTGGTTCATGGGCCCGTTCTTCTGGTTCATGTCATCTTTCGGGGGATCTCCTTTGGGTCTTTTCCTTATTGTGCCCAGACACATGTTCTTCTGAAGTTGGCATTTTGTTCTGGTTTCCCACGTTTGCAGGCAGCGTTGCCTGTGTCTTGCAGCCCCGTGCAAAGCCCAAAGTCTGCCTCAGTGCTCCTGTCATCCTTCTGGGCTGGGCTCGGATGCAGGGGCTCATCTTTGCAAATCTTTGCATGTGACAGGGTTTGTGCTGGGGGGCCTTTGGTGGCTTCCTTGGAGGCATCTGTAGCCCTTGGGCACATTCCGACTTCTCCATGCCCGCACCCTTTTGGTCCCCCTCTGCCCTTGTGAAGTTTCTGCCCACCCCAGACATGGTAAAGTGGGGGCCCCCAGCCTGGCCATTTTATATCTATGTTTTTATGGCTATATGCTTTTAATCTTTATAGCTTTATAAATGCATATATATATATATATATATATATATTCGCAGCTATACCTATACAGAAGAATATATAAATCAGTATATCTCTATCATAGAATCCTAGAATGGTTTGGGTTGGAAGGGACCTTGAAGATCACCCAGTTCCAATCCCCTGCCATGGGCTGGGACACCTTCCACTAGAGCAGGTTGCTCAAAGCCCCATCCAACCTGGCCTTAGTCTAAATAAATAAATAAAATTATAAATGATAAAATTATAAAACTATAAATTATAAATTAATATCTAAATAAATAGATATATATCTTTGTACACTCCTTAATGTATACTTCTACATATTGTATAGAAGTACAAAATATGCATTTACATACAACATATATATTGTATAGAAATGTATATATTTTTATATATGAGCACTTCCCAGTCCAAAGAAGGCAGGCAGCCAATCACAAGGCTGCTTTCTGGTCCAAAGGAAGTGGGCAGCCAATCACAGGGCTGCCTGAGAACATGTCGGGGAATGACACCGTCAAAAGTGGTGGTCTCCCATGGGGGAGGACATGGCGGTCCTTTTGTGATGTGCTTCAGGCTACACTGGTAGCTAGTCCTGCCCACCAGTCACAGGGCTGCCTGAGAATACGTGGGAATGACGGTGTCACGAAATGGCTGTCAGCCAATCACAGAGCAGTATGATCTTTAAAAGAACGGGCAGCTCCCTGCTGTACAATGGTGGCACCCTGTCCTAAAATGGCGGCCAAAACAAGATGGCAGCCGCATGGAGGTAGAGGAAAGGCCTTCCAGGTCTGATGTACTTATGGGTAAACCGGAAGGGGTGGCCGGTCCTGCAGCCAATCACAACAGAGCACATGACTGGAAGAGGGGGCGTGACTTCTGGGAGGGGGAGGGATTTGTGGCAGAAGCTGGTGGGCGTGGCACCTGTCACTCCCTCGCCTGTCTCTCAGTGGTGCCTGTGGCGCTTCTGCCTCTTCTCAGGTCCCCAAGGTCACAGGTCTCCCCGCGACGGAGCGTCCTGAGGAGCCCGCCACGAGCTGCTCGCGGCTCTTCTGGGAAATGAGGGGGGAGAAGAAGGGGCTGACGAGGAAAGGCAGTGGGTGGTGATGGAGGGAAGTCTGGGGTCTGTGGAAGGGCGGCTGCACCCTGCGGGTGAGTGTGTGTGTAAGCGCCTTGTCTACGGCACTCTAGAGTGCCATACTTTTCTTTCTGCAAAGAGGCGGCTGGAGGTAAATGTATTTCAGGTCTTCACGCTGTCCCCTGAGCCCCTGTGCGTACCTCCCTGCCAAACTGCGTACCCAGAGCCGCCTCCCTGCTGGGGTCAGCGTGCACCCGTCACTTGTCCTGTCTGTGGTGTTTGCAGATGGAGCTCATGGAAGGGAAGAAGATCTTCTGCAAGAAACTCCTCACCTTCTTGCTCTTCAGCTTCATCTTCAGCTCCTGTCTCTTCGTTTCTCTTCGTAAGTTCAGGACTTCTGAGCCCGAGCATTACGATTCCAGTCCCTCTGCACAAGTAGCCCATGCTGGAAACACCAGCACCCCACCGATGGGTGAACACAGGCTGACCATCCTGCTGTGGAAGTGGCCATTTGGGCACCACTTTCATTTCATAAACTGCTCGGAGCTCTACAGCACCCCGGACTGCCATTTCACCGTCAACCACAGCTGGTCCCAAAAGGCTGATGCTGTGATTATGCATCACAGGGATGTGTGCAGGGACAGGGAGGGGCTGGCCCAGCTCCCCAGACTCCCTTCCCAGCGCTGGATCTGGTTCAACCTGGAGTCCCCAAGTCACTCTCCAAACTTAGGCGCCATGGACAACCTCTTCAACCTGACCATGTCTTACCGGAGAGACTCGGACATCTTCACCCCTTATGGGGAGCTACGGCTCCTTGGCCAGCCCCAGCCCCTCAGTATCCCACCCAAGACCAAGCTGGTGGCCTGGGTAATCAGCAACTGGAGAGCAGGCTCCCACCGAGTGAAGTACTACCAGGAGCTGAAGAAACACATTGCTGTGGACGTCTATGGGCGACATCACTTGCCCCTGCCCTGGGACAAGCTCCTTCCCACTGTGTCCCAGTACAACTTCTACCTGGCTTTTGAGAACTCGCAGCATGAAGACTACATCACTGAGAAGCTCTGGAGGAACGCCTTGTCCTCTGGCACTGTCCCTGTTGTGCTGGGGCCTCCTCGAGAAAACTACGAGCGCTTCTTGCCCCCTGACTCATTCATCCATGTCGATGACTTTGCCAGTGCTGGGGACCTGGCGCGGTACCTGTGGGAGCTGAGCGAGGATGCCGAGAGATACCAGCGCTACTTCCAGTGGCGCAAGTGGTTGAAACCTGTGGTGGAGGCCGACTGGGCCCGGCATGTCTGCAGAGCTTGTCACTTCTTGCAGATGACAGAGGCCAGGTACCAGGTTGTGCCCGATCTGTCTGAGTGGTTCGTGTAACTGCTGTTTGCTCAGCTCTCTGCTGCGCTGCAATCATTTTGTCCTTGCTGGCAGGTTGCAATTTCACGGGATGATTGAACTTGATGGAAGTGGAGGGACAAGAGGAGCTTTGAAGTGAACAAGGACAAGGAAGCAATTAGGTGTTTGTATGTCTTTGTCTTACTGGAGAATAGACTGTCAGATAGAGTAGTACATTGGCTTTTTGGCTGATCTATTAGTTACCTGAACAACTTGTTATGCTGGCTGCAGCTTGGTCTTTGGAGACGGTCACCTTCAGTCTCTGCAAACAATTCTGGATCAGCTCCACAGGTTGGAGAGCCCAAGCAAGTGGCCAAGAGGGGAAGGTGAAATAGCAATACCCACCTTAAATCTGTTTCAGGGACTTTGTACTGTGCAAAGCTGCAGCTTGAAGGGGCGGCCACACCACGAGGCTGCTGCTGCAGGAGGAACTGGCCACGCTCCTCTCTCCCAGCCCTGCAGCCCCAGTCCTGCCCTTGCTCTGCCTCAGGCTCTCCCTGACTGCCTTTGGGGTGCTGCATCAGGATGCTAAACGGGCAGAAAACAATTTATTTTACAAGGCTGTTTTTTGGACAGGTTAGCAAGACAGTGTGGGTTTGAGGAGGGGTCTGACAGCAGCAGACTGGTGCAGGTAAGGTGTGGGGTGCCACGGATGCCCCTGAAAGAACCGTAAGTTTTAGTGCCTCGAACATCGCAACTTCTGGCATTGGCTGATGCCTCCAGGCCATGTGTTTAAAAAGCAGTGAATAATTTGCCTTTATTGAGCTTCCTGCTGCCGTTCAGGTCGTATCACTGGAAATTGTTTCCTTTTCAGGTTGGGGGAGCCCCATTGCATGGAGTTGGCAGACACAGCTGTGCCCTTCCAGGCTCCCTGCCAATACCTCTGGACATTCAGCTTGTCTTCCTGACTGCTACTGATCCCTGAGCTGAACTTTTCAAAGGTCTGTCCTGACCCCAGGATGTTTCCATGAGGAAAATCAGCTCAGAGTCCAGCAATACATACAGAGAGACAATTGTTTTCTCCATCAGCAGCATTTAGCAAACATTTCCAAAGAATCCCCTCTGCATTTCCTCCCGCAGTCTTCTGTAGAAGAAGGACCATCAGCAAGACCTCGTCTTTAGCATTGCGAGTCCCTAATTTTCATTAGTAACCTTCATCACCTTTGGTTTTTCTCTGCTTTGCAGATTGGTTGAATACATTGATCAGCACAAGCCTAAGAACAAATCCTTCTCTCTGAAATCTGAACCTTTATCCCTCTCATCTTTTTCCTGTCCTCCTAACAGTACCTGTCTAGATGAGCCCTTCCTGAGGCTGCTTGGTTTCTTGAAGAGCCCTTGCTGGACCTTAGCAAACCCCTTTGGAAATTCAAGTAGAAAAATGTGCCACATCTTCCTTAGCCGTGTGCTTGCTGGCTGCTTCAAACAAGAGCAATAAATTTGCGAGGCATCAATTTTCATTGCCAAATAATTGTCCATGCTTCTGCCTCTGCCTTGTCTGCCTGCAGACACACATCTCTTTCCTCCTTTAGCATGTAGCTGTCGTCAACCAACCATGGTGCTCTTCCCATCTTTAGAGCTGGTTCAGTTCAGAGCAGCTGGAGAAATTTAAGATTGTAACATTACTGATTGAGCTGATATGGATGTGGATAAGGGATAAATAATATTCTGCAGGTGAGCTCTATGAACAGTCTCTTCCTGTCAATGGTGGCACTGGGGAGTTGGGATGGACGGTCACTCGTTTCACTGCTCCTGCTAGATTTGGAAGATGATGCCTGTCCCTGGGCTAAATGCTTCCACCTCGAGACTTCCACTGGGAAGACTTCAGTTTGAGCATTGGCCTCCGGAGCTGCCTTTTGCTGGCATTGCCAGCAAAACCAATTACAAAACAGAGTGGCTGATTAAACTGAGCGACGACGGAGCACCACATGTCGGGGCACAAAGTCCAGCTGCTTGGAAAGGGTGTGCCATTTGAAAAACCAATTGCAGATTTCCAGGAGCTGCTGGAGACGACCCATGCTGCATGCATGAACTCAGCCAAGAGGAGTTTGCTCTTGGCTTTAGCCAATGTCATGAAAAGCCTTCCCAGGAAGAAACCACAGTGAAGAAGCCCCATGACCATGTTCAGTTCACCTGAAATAGTTTTCTTTAGCCCGTTTTGAAGGGACGTACTGCAGGGAAGGGGAGTTCCTGGGGGGTGGCGATGCAGGGTGTGTTGGGGCAGGGCCGCTGTCTCCAGGGGGTTTAGATGTCTCTTGCAGCAGTGGGCGACTGCAGATACGCAGCTCCCTTGGCCAATGGGGTTTCCAACTATACAAGGTGGCATTTGCCGGGTGCACAGCAACTGGCCACGCATGGGCAGGGAGCTCAGTTTTGCTCCCACTGGAGACTTGGTGATGATGATTATTGAGATCACCCTGTGCATTAAATAGACATCTTAATAAACAGGCAATTCAATTCCTGCTTGGATCTCATTCCTTTGAGTGACCTGCAGGCTCACACTGGGGAAGCAAATGCTGGTGACCAGGAGCTTCAAGCCATCCCCCTCAAGACCTGTTTTTGGATAGCCCCGACCCTGTCATTTGAGTTGGGCTCAAGACTGCCCATGGTCCTCTGAAAGGAAACACACCCTAGGCTCTCTGAAATTCTCCTTAATAAACGGACTAGCAACAAGTAAATATTATCAACAGTTATCAAAGCAGATTGAGTGGCAAATTACAATGCAGCAATGTCATTAAAAAGGCTTAATTAGTTTGGCTCTTTTGCACGCCTTTTTGAGTACTAGAGCATGTATAATGTATATACATGTACAGTGCAGTTCACATACCTCATGCTCCTAACTTCAACCTCCTTTCAACTTAAAGGTAAGAAAGAAAATCTCTTGTTTCTGAGGAAGGCACTAGATGAGATATCAAAAGGGAGAGAGAAGTGACTCCTGAAATGACTGAACCTTTTCTCATCCAGGAGCAACACTGCTGCAAAAAAAACTGGGGAAGAAGAAGAAGCCTCTCCAAAGCTTATACACGGAAGGCACGAAGCATGGTCGAAGCTGCCCAGCCACCCCAGGCTGAGATGCCTTGCCATGCAGATTGACCCCATCAGAGCTGGCACTGGTGGCATTTTCTTTGGTGACGATGCACTGTGGGAACAAGGAAACACCAACATTTTTGCACCATTGTGCTGGGAAGAGACTGGATGGGGAAAGTCCCTCTGGTGTAGGGCTGGGAAGGGAGCCGGCTGTGGGAAAGAGGGGAAGAGGAGGGACTGAACTCAAAGCAAATGCTAGGGGTTTGTCAGGGGAGCACAAAAAAAAATTAAATTTGGAAATTTTCAGTTGAGGTCAACCTGAAACATGTAAATCATGTGCTGAGGGGTGGGGAAGAGCCAGATTGAAACTCAGGGTAGTTTTTAAGTGGAAAGAAATGCCTTTCCAAACTTGAAAAGCTCCCCGATGGAAATGCTGAAGCGAAGCCCCAGGCTAGGGAGGGTTTTCTCTTAAGCAGAACGAGGAGTATTTCTGCAAAGCAGAACAATTTCCACGGCCGATGGCAGACGACAGACACAGAGCAGTGGCCAGCCTCGAGGTGGCCGTGTGCTGTGACACAGAGGGCTGGGACGCAGATGGAGGGGGATGTTGAAGGCAGGAGAGCACCTGAAAGAGCCCTGGGCTCCTTGGCACGGGGGACCACGGGGATGGGGCTCGACACATACATTTAGTAGACATCTTGCATGCAAAAGGGCCAATTCTCCCAAATTCGGGCTATTTAACCTTGTGGAAAACCCCTTTTCCAACTACGGGGGAAGTCAAAGATAATCTTTCCATCCCTGCTGATGCCTCCTGCTGCTGCAGCCTCTCCAGCCGTGGCCGGGGAGCATTTTGGGAGCACCCGCTCGGCCAGACAGCTGCAAGAAATCTCCAGTTTTCTCTTGCCAGCCTCCGAAGCCCGATTCCCTTTGCTTCCAAGACCTGGAGTCGTTTAACACCTATTAAAAAGAGATTAGTCCCGTAGGTTTTTGGACTCTTTTAACTGGGGAATGGCAGCACCAGGGTTATCGTCTCTCTCCTTTTGTGATTGAGCCTGGGGTTATTTTGACAGGTCAAGGCTTGTCAGCCTCATCCCTCTCCTGGGTCCAAGGGCTGTTTGGGGACCTGGATGAGCCTTGGGGAGAGCAGCAGGGGTCTTGCTGACCCTGAGGCTGGCCAGCCTTTGAGGCTGCAGGAGCAAAGGCAAAATAAATATGCAGGGGGCAGATTTACGAATGTTGACCTCACCCTCATCCCCCAAATTGTGCTGCAGCATTCAAGAGGGTGACCAAAATATGAATTTTAGTTCTGCTGAAGCATTCAGGGCTGGGCACACCATGGGATGTTAGGGGCTTGCACCCAGCCAGGCTTAAGCCATGGTCCTTGAAGAGGGGACGTGGGGTTGGCAGGACAAAAATATCACATTAAACCTTCCCCTCCTCTAAGTGGCAGCTCGGTGCTGCCGTGGCCTGGGGAGGGGATGCCTGTGGGCGACGTGGAGCCACACACAGGCTGATTTTGTTAGGGGCTGGGAAAGCTGACACCGCACTTGGGAAACTCTGTAAGGGGGGACTTCATTGAGGGAAACATCTGGATGTGTGCACCGCGGGGGCCCGGGGCTGGGAGACCGTGCTGAGAAGTCACAGTCTGGCTTTTCCTGAAACACCGGTGCTGGGGTTTGCAGCCTCCTTGCCAAAGGGGGTTCCCCCCTCCACACCCAGTTGGAGACACCGGCACGAGGGGCTGCTTCAGTCCCTTGCAGAGAAGATGTGAAAACACTGCGTTCGCCCCCAAACCTCTCATCTTTTTACCCAAAGGTGGTAGGAGGCAGGTTGAAGTGTTCCCAGCCGATGCTTTTGGGCAGAGATGATCCAAAAAGCAGAGAAGGGGAGAGCTTTACAGGGGTATTTCCCCAAGAGGTGAGAAAGGGGCTGCTCCTCATGGGAAACCAGGGAGATAA